CCAGGAATTTCATGTTATCGTCGAAGATGAGTTACGTGTGCCGATTACTGGTAGTGGTTAAGGGTTTTCCTACGGAACCTCGGCGCCCTTTTCTTTTCCTCGCGCCTCTTACGTAAAATTACAAGACGTCGATTCCACCGTGAAACCTGCGAGTGGATTACGTGGCGGCATCGCGGAAGGCCAACACGGAGGATCGGGGAGAAAATCGAAGGAAAAATTACGAGACGGCATACCGAAGGGGTGTATGGTTAAAGGTTTTGCTGATTGCGAGACATTAAGTGTAATTACGAGATGGGCCGCGGAATAAAATCGTGGCAATAATACGGTTTAGAGGGCTCCTCGAACACTAAATACTCGCGCGACTCGAAATCCGGTTTATAATGTACTCATGAGCGCATTAAGACGCTCCCTCGCACTACTTCACGCCTATATAAAGCCCGTAGAATAATTAACCGTCTGAATCAAAGGGCCGATTATCGTTATTCGCACCATCGTCCACTCGGAATCCCATGCGGTACCTTTTACACATTTAACGCTCCGATCACTTCTTTTTGCATGCCATCGTTAACGTCACGACCTCCTTCCATTAGGAACGATTACATCCTTACGCCGATATCCATGCTCCCGGCATGACATTATAAAGTCAGAATACGAAACGTTTTCGTCGATGTGCGCGCTGCCGCTTTGATCGCAAAGAGGATTATATCCATAAAAGTCACAACGCTATGTATTTAACGTCATATAACATTAGGCGATCTAAGTTATTAATTATGTATTTTCTCGGATTATTTTGCAGATTATTACACAAAAAAGTTTCACGTTTCTTATATTTCTCTTCTATATTAGAATCAATAATCGATTTATTATTCTCTCTCGACTGTAAAATGTTAAAAAGCATATGCGTAATTTTTATGTCATTACAGTATGAATAATTTCGCCCTACAATCTCTCTTTTTTTCTTTTAGCAAATACAATTACAACGTGTAATCGATTGACGAGCTCGATCGTGCTTGTAAATTCGGCCTTCCTAACGGATAACCGTAATTATCGGCGCGTCGAGAAGACAAATCATGACCGCTGTAATTTCCGACGATCGTGGCCGTGCGCGTTCGTGAAATACGATCGGAGAATTGGCAATCTTACCGAGAATCGATTTGAATTAAACACACCCGGCTTCGTTGTATCCTAGAGGCAGCTGGTCCGCAAAGAACGAAAGCCTAATTAGGTCTTGTAAGCAGTAAAACGGAGATTTTCAGCGCCACGGGGACACTATTCCAACTTGCGGAGAGACGTTTGAACTCGAAGGAAGCCGAACGCGAAGACAAGAGCGGCCCTTGGTAAACGTACCGACGATCCACTCACCGACTTCACACGTTATTTATCTGTATCTCTCCCGTGGCGTGCATTCGCGTTGCCTCTACCAACGTATATGGTAAACATCGTCGTGGAGACCACGGTGAGCGTGATTCTCGCACACATTCCTCTATTTCTTCAGAGATTTAGCTTGCGAAAATTGATGAAATTTTATCAGCCGATCAGGAACATTGATAAAAATGAACGAATTACGCTATAAATCGATTGAGAATTGCAGATGAATTGGTAGATGCAGCTAGAATGAATGAATTCTACGATTGCACGATAGACTACAGAAAAATCTGACGAATTCTCAATGATCCCTTTATGTCCTTTTAAGAGACGATGAAAACCTAACGGGCAACAGTAACTACTGTGGTATTACGAAAGCACATTCAGAGAACTGAGGAAACAGCGGTCGTATTAATTATAGCCGACTCGGCTGGTGAGCCAATTGAGAAATATATAATACCATTGCAAAACACGCGCGGTAGGCTTCGATGTCTAAGCAGCCGCAATGGAAGTTGCGTTGTATCGACCATCAGCAATTCCAACGCGCGGTTAGGAAAGCAGACATTCCGAGATGGCAGCCTACTCTACATTGAATGAGCGCTCGGCAAATTTCGAGAAACGAAGCCTCGATTTGCACGTGTCTTTCTTCCTCTCTCTCTCTCTTGCTCGCCGAAGAATTCGAGCCATTTCGTGCGCGATAACAAACGTATATTATATCCTAGCTAAGCAAATCTGCGTCCTTTAAGATCGCCGACGAAAAGAGAGAAAAAGAGAAGAGAAGCGGAGAAGGTAGCGAGAACGAGGGAACGTTTAACATAGCTGTGACATAAATCTGCATGCGCCCATATGCACCGTTTCCACTCTCTTCCTACTTCCTTTACCGTGAGCGTACTTGTGGATGCGTGCGCGTATATTACACGCAACCCCGCAGGATACCACGGAGAAACGCGGTTGGGACAAAGTCTTCGACTTCTCGAAGGGCGTAGGCTCATAGTTTAAAACAGCTAGACGTATATATGCACTTTGAACGAGCAATCATAGTATCGAAGTATGCGTACGTAATTTAACGTGTATTCTACAAATGTATGTACGCGTATACGGTCGCAATCGTAAATATTACCTGCAGCCAACGGTACATCAAATAATCATGGGAAATATAGAGGAAAGGAGATAAGAATATGAGATAAAATAGTAATTCGCACGTGATCTTTGATCGGAAAGAAATAAAAAAAAAAAAACATTTTAGATGTGTGTGGAGACTGTGGTGGGTCTGCATAATTTGTCTTTCTGTCACTTTACGGAATGTACATAAAAATCAAATTATAGATATAATAGATTTCATCATAAAATGAATTGACTAATATTACGAATTAGAAGAGAAACAGTGACTACCTCATAATTTTATCTTTTTAATCTTTATTTAATGACTGAGAGATACCAGTCATCAATATTCAGAAGGAAGTTTGCTGAATTTTTGTGAAGAATTAATCTTCCTACTGTAAATCTGAGCAACTTTTACCAAGTCATGTAGGAAATATAATTAAGAAAAATATTGTAATGTATTCCTGCATAACGTTTCAACATACCTGTTTCAACATGATTTTGGTAACATTTATGTCACCGATATAAAATACATGATAAGCGATTTTCCATAATTGTCGTTACTATAGATTGTCTTATCTTCAGAGATGTCATCTCGTGACTGTTGACGTATTTTACATTTTTTTTAGCGCAATTCGCGGTGCGAGATTCGTCAAAGTGCCGTGGGAACGGTACGAGAAGAGACGTTCCGGTGGCGCACAGGCGTGCGCGATCAAATTTATGAAACGCACCTAAAACCTCGAAAGATGTTTATCAAACTTCCCGCTTCTTCGCAATAAGACGAGGACAGGGAGCGTGTAAGTTCTCGACAGTCGTATGTATCTTGGAAGTACTCGACTCTCGGCATAACTGCGCCGGTGAACGTCGGGGACGAGATTTAGAGGCCGCGACTGCGGACAATGCACGACACCTGCAGCACCTCGAGAGGAACGAAGAGAAGAATGAGAAGAAGAGAGGAAAATAGAACGAGAGAGAAAGAGACAAGCAGATTGAAAGCGAAATAAGGAGAAAAGGAAAGAGGTGGAAAGGTGGATTCATCTCACCGTATATACCGTAAGAGGTATAACGTGGATCGTCTAAATATATTACATGGAACGAAAAGTGATGTTGATAGCATAATGAAGTAAAAAACTGTTAAGAAATAATTTAAAAAAATATATCTTATATATTAGTGATATGTTAAGAAAAAAATCAGTAGCTAACTCATATTTTTTAAAATTTCGTGTTCAATTTACATGTAATAATAAAAATAAAGTCGCATATATATATATTTAAAGTCTGCACATATATAAAATTATATAGTAAATCGATAGATGATACTTTAGTATTTCGACAGTTGCTACCATGAAACATATTTTCGCTGGAGTATCAGTTATCTTACCGGTGATCGACCTTGCGATCTTTTTGTTCTTAGGATAGTGCGCGGTTGAAGGGATTTTCGGTAGTTCGGGACCCCTGATGGCGCATGCGGTGAAGAAAAGGAAACGAAGAGAGAAGAGTTGAGTGCCGAGTCGCGCAACCAAAGGTTTTTTATCGGGATATTAATTGGACAACCAATTATATCTTACGCGGCAAAGCATAAATTCATAACCTTTAAGCTCGCAGTTAAAACGAACCAATTATCGAAGCGGGGGCCACTGCATGCCTTTTCAAGCCGCGGCCGAAAAGTCGTATCCAGAAGAATATCAGTTCGAATATCCTTTCGACGGTCGAAACTGCCCACAAGAACTCAATGGAACTGAGTAGTATGATTCCACTGTCATTAACCGTCGACATCACTCGCGAGAATGCTTCGTAGCCGACAAATTCATTTCGTTTCTTCACGTGCAAATGGAGTACTCGCGAATTTAAGTACTTTTTAGAGTTAACAGATAAAGGGAAAAAAAATTCCTCGGGAATATTGTTTAAAAAAAAAAAAAAGGAACAAGATTAATAACACCACAGGAATGTGGTGCGAATTGAAATCATCAAAATAAAGAGGAAGACAACGAGAGAGTGTAATTATCTGTGTAAATTTCGTACACTTTTATTATTAAAGTTTCATATTATTAATATTTAAAAGATTCCGTTTCTCAATTTATAAATTAATTAGGTATGCAATAGAATATGCGTCCTTACACTACAACATTTTGTAATGTATAATATGTGTTTTAAAATAATAATCTAAATAAGCAACATCATGTACAAATTACTGTATGTTCGACAAGATATTGGTGAGACAGTAAATAAACATACTTGTAATTAGATAAAAATGTAATTATATACGTATTACAAATTATTATACCATCTCGCAATGTAGCATCGCGTGTTTCGCAGCTGTTAACGCAATATTGGACACTGGTGAGATAACGATAATTTCAGAGTAACATATTATTGCAGCATTGTACCAGAAATATATATTGGTATGGAACATTGCGTGTTACGTGGGTATTAAAGTTAATTATCGCAGATAACGTTAAAATGATGTGTTAAAATGCGAATTGTGTACATTTATAAAACACAATTCTAACAATACGTTTACTCGTGCAATTAAACATTGTACAACCTCACGTTTAATTAATTTTATTATTGCTGATGATCATTCCGAGAACGAGCTGCAGCTGCTACTGTTGCGGAATTTGGGCTCCGTGATTCTTTTGGCGATCGCGGTGGTCTTGGAGGACGCGAGTACGTAAGTGGAGTACGGAGTCCTTTTGATTCTACCCAGAGCAATTCCGGCCTTAAGAATCTCGACGATCAAGTACCGCGCGCGCACGTCTGTAAGCCTCGTATGCTTCAGCACATACTTGACGATGTCCTCCAGACTGGCACCTTCCACGGGATGATCCATTCGTCTTCGCGGCGACATCGCAAAAACCTATGCGGACACGATCGTTCCATATTTTCATGTAACAAAATACTCTCTTTTATGAATTTATTTATTATGTACTCTCGTCGCGGATCGCGTTGACATCCCGCTCTCTTCCCTAATTGGATCATAAACGCGATCGGAAAAATGTACATTTCTTGATTAGGTGAGAACACGTTCGTTATCACGCATTATATATCGAACCGACAGCGACGTTTGTGGTCGTTTCGAACTAAATGAACGATCTATTGGTAGGAACGAATTGTAGTAGTATACCGAGCAATTGGATTATACACTCTTGTCAACGGAATGCATGCAATGGAAAGAAGTTACGAGCGGCAATGAGAAAGCGAGTGCGAGAAAAGAGATACAGCAATATCGCTTTTATGGGTCGTATATTAATCGCATAATTGAGATATGGTGCCCGTCGTGCAACCGAACACGCAACGTTCTTTCGTGAAAAAAGTCAATCATTATCTAAGATTGACTTCATAACAACGCGATAAAGAAGACGCTGTTGAAATGTCGAACAAAATAATTCTAGGAAAAGAGAAGAAGCAATGAAACATAATTCGAACCCAAAGCTGTCGACAGGAACATGTTATGCTTTGACAAATTAATACTGTCCATTGTATGTTCAAATAGAATTGGGGTTATTGATGAATTTTAAAAATATAAAACCCTTTCTTATCTAAAAAAAAACTCTCTAAAATAACTTTTCAAAAATAATTCTGCAATAATTCACGCGTTAAAAGTTATACTAACGTAATGGTATCTAAATAAGATTAAAATGACCACTATTTAATTCATGATATGACTTTTTCATGAAACGTCGACTGGACTAACTAACATTAAGCGCCCTTCTTCAATTATCACGCTTATTATCATGGCGTTGACAAAGGAGACAGGGCCAACAGACACAAAAGTGACTCTGCTCAAAGGTAACGAGTCTGGTCGCATGAGAATAAGTAGCGCAGTCTCATGTTAAGAACTGAATGTCAATTCATGACTAAGAACCGTCTCCGGATTGTACCGGTTGATGCGCGCAGCCGTCGAAGAAGAGTTTTTTTTTCATCGGTCACTATAGAAGGAAGCAGATGATTCCGCGGCCTAATGGAAGGGCTTAGTGTGCTTTGGTAACGTATAATTATCGGGTAGAACGAGTTCAAGAATGTGGCAGTTCGAACGAAAATAGAGACATTATTTCGCTAGCGCGTCTCGTCTTTTCTTTTCTCCTTCTGCCATGGCTCTTCGAAGTGGTTAAGAGGCAAAGAAATAGCTGGCCGCATATCAGTGACACTACTTGCTTGAAACTCGAAATCTTCATCAGGCTCTACACCTTCTTAAATACTCGTTAATCCGTTGATGTCTACTTAAAAACCGGTGGCAGTATCTTCGACATGATTGAGAAGCGACGAATCTGCAGAAAACGGATCGTGAAGAAAAGAGAACGCGATTAATTGCCGGGCTCGCGATGAAATCATTATTAATTAGAGTGCGTGTCCACTGGAGTCTTCATCGCGTCGATTAAATGGTAATACTTGGGAGTATTAATTAATCATAAATGATTGAGCTTTAAGGTTGCTCGTTTTGCATAAAGTTTCTGTGGGCTGATGTAATTGATTCACAGACTTGGAATTCCTTTTTAGCCGTACCTACTTCTCACAATCGTCGCCATTCAAGGAGTGCTGAAAGAGATTCTTTCCGGTCTATTCTTGGCAAACTACACGTCCACGATCATCTTCTCTCCGCGAGACACTCAAGGACGTTCTTCGCGAACACAGGCGATTGCTACAATTCGTCCGGTTTTCAAATCCTTTTTCTCTTCTATGCCTTGTTAATATCAATCAATGTAGTGTCCAATGATAGCAGCAAGTTACAGAAAAATTTTTTGTATTACGAATACAAAGGAAAAGAGATGTGAGATCACAAGATATAAAAATTAAGGAAGACTTCACACTGTGAAAATTTTAATTCCTTTTAAATTTGCATCGATAATCAATCATTAGAAATAGCTTGTTATCAATATCTTTCCCATTATTAAATCGATACGTTTAAAAGTTGTTAATAAAATTATTGTATGTACATTATCATTGAGATCGCAAAAGTCAGACTTTGTATCATCAATGTATATAATGCATCGTTAATGTCGGTCAACGTTACAATACGATTAAAAGCGATTGGCGATTTGCGGAGGCGCGAGCACATCGAGATAGGGTCGAAGATAAGATCGTCGATCGTGGGCGGGTGCATTCGATGAAAGACGGAGAAAAGGCGCGAGACTGGCGTCTCTTTTCTTTTATGCGCCCTTTTTTCGGCTTTGTATCGAGCAAGAAACGCACCAAGCGTGTCTCTCCTTTCGAAAAGAGAGGAGAACTCGTCGTATCGATCGTGCATTTTATTGGCGGGCGGATCTTGTACTTTGGAAGCGCGGCATAATTTTCTTCATCCTACATCGAACGTCGTACAGAACGCTTACGCTTTTATACGCACGAAAGAACGCGACGTGCACAATCAGAATCAGCCGTGCAATCTGACTTTACTTTGTACAAACATCTCATCGATTTCTCCGTTCCGAATCATGCGTTATGACATTCCTTGCACACGGCGTTCCATTTCTTTAATAATCCTGTACACGCCTTGAAGCTGTATTCTGGTATCATCAAGTGTGCAACGAACTTAGAGAGGCCTTAAATACTTTTGATACTCTTTTTCTCTGCGAACTGTCTAGTCCGCAGGAATCTCTCCATCTTCGAGACCCGTCACGCGACGAAAACGAGCTCAATTAACTCGTCACCGCTGCTAATTACAGCAATACGAAGAAAGTCTGTATTACGAATAAGTAGAGTATCATGATTACGATCCGTTTTCACGGATCAATTTAGAATATTCATGATCACGATTTCACAGATAAATATTATTTATAAAGTTAACAAAAAATTAATATTAAATATTAAATATTATTTATAAAGTAATTAATATAAATGTAATTTTTGTTTCATTATTAATCAAAATTATTCTAATAAACATATAACAAGTATTTCATGAATTAAAACGTAATCTTATTTTGAAAAAAAAAACAGACATAATTGCATAGATAAAGAGAAGTAAAAAAACGCTAAGAAATAGTTACTTCTGGAAAAGCGGAAGGCATACAGCAATTCATTTAAAGCCGCAACATAAATAAGAAAGCACAGGCCGTATATCGTCTTAACGTTAACCGTATGTGCGAAATAATCCATAGCAGAAAAGGGTCGGGTCTCTTGATCCTTCCCAAGTACATGATAGTCGCGGTTAACCATATAGTCACGAGCTATTACCGTAGAACCATCGGTCCTTTGTAGCAAGGTCGTCAAGAGAAACGTTCAAGAACGAGATAGAGTCATTACACTGGATAGATAAGTTTCCACCTGTACTGTAACTTCAGCTAGGTAAACACCTGTGTGAGCTACTTTGTGAATTTATCTCGCTATCCTATATCTACAAAAATCAAACTAAATATCGTTGCAAAAATAAAAACCACGATTAAGAAAATATCCAAGTGCTTTTTTGAAAAAAATTGAAAAGTATAGAAATATTTAACCTTTTATTTCTAAATGTAAAACTATTAAAAAATAGAGATAAATATTTTACTTTGATTATACTTAACAAAAATAAAAATAGATCAATTTTCTAAAATAATACCGTCGAGTTTTTATTGGTTACTGAATTTTTATTAACTCTTTGTTTCGTAAAATTTTTAATATTTTTAAAGCATATCGGTTTATAAGAAATATACTGAATTATGATTAATAAAAATTATGTATTGCATAAATATCTTCAACCCGAGAAATCATTCATTTTCGATAGGCATGGAAGAAAAGTGGCATTTACGCTCCCATCAATTTACAAGATCTGAAGGCCCTTATCACATCGCACAGCATAATTTTGTTGTCACGTTGAGTTTTAAGACTCGTAATTACAATCATAAAATACGCGCAAAAGTAATTTAGGTCTGGCAATAGGTCCAGACAGTTTTGTGCGAAACAGCAGACAACCGTTACATTGTATTCTGCTAATAAATGTCATTTTGCATACAGGTGTATAGCTGGTTGAGGCTGAAATAACATCGTCCTCGAATTCTTAAGCCCTTGAGATATTGAACTTTACGATCGAGAAGACAGCAGTGACTTCTTACTCCACGTCTTTTAATTCTACACTTCTCCCTTGTTACGGGAGAGGAAAGGAACGAACAAATTCGCATTAATAGTTTAAAAACAATTTTAACGATTCTATCAATTACGTGTATCTTTATTTATATATTAGGTGATAATTCTGCTATAAATGCATAGACTGTTACTATAACTTTCAAACTATGTGTTTGATACGCTCATTATGTAAATTGCAACGTGATTCTTATAGCATCTTATAATTATAGCTCTTCTATCATGATGCATCAGTCTTTACATTGTATCATATTCTATAATCAAATACGAGACTCAATAATTCTATATGATTATACTATTATATATTATCGCAAGTATTTTCAAAACAGTTGTTATTTGCACTTAGACTTTTAAGAAAGTCAATATATGTATAAAGACCAAATATGTTAATTTCATATTGGTGTTTAATAAGTAGAAAAAATCAAATTTCTTAGTATGTGCATAAATAATTAAAATAGAGAAAGTTTTTCCTAGCAATTAAAATCTGATACAAAGCATATCAAAGAATTAACAAGTTTACTTGTTTGATTCGTGATAATAATTATTGCAGTTTTTTTTCAAAGACTGTTTAATTATTCAGTGCTCGTTGATGCTAATAATTGACATCATCATGCGGTGATAATTGTTTCTGAAATCATTTTTGCGACACTCCCATTTCCCATGCATTCATGCAGTTAATACGATGTGGCTGTGATTATACTGCAAATTCTTATAGTTGACGAGATTGCTCTCATACGCGGCGAGCCAGGCAGCCAGGCGCAAGGTGGTGTAATGATCTCACGTTAATGTAACAAGT